TTTGTCTCACAATACTTTTTGCACCTTACCCTTTTTGGAGTTGAAATTATTCTTGGTATTGTGTGATTAAATTTGTGTGTGTTCTTCAGAGATCCTATTTTCAGTCACTGACCCATTATTTGACAGGTAGCACTTGCAGATGTGTCATTTTGCTACCTCAAAATTCTGCGTGTTCTAATGAAGAAACCCAAATGCCAGTTTCTACAAGTTTAGTTAAAATGAAGCTGGAGTTTTTAAAATAGATTATAGGTAACTAGAATAGAGACAGTGTTCCTTAAACTGGACTCTTATGTTTCCTGAGCACTTCATGAAATACGGGATTTAATATAGATTTAATTTTATCTTTCTTAAAAACTAATGATATTAGGAAGGTGGTGTTCTGTAGTCTTACTGACTTTTCCAAAGATGAGATAACAGTTCAGTTTCCAATCTTAGTAGATAGACCTCTAAAATAATTGCAAATTTGAAAATGACTGCAAATCCATGAATACCTTACTAACTGTAGTATAAAACCTCTGCATATACGTGTGTGCGCTCAAACCTTTTTGTTTTGTAGCAGAACTGGTTCTAGAACTTGGTTCTAGAATCTGTGATGAAATTGTGTAAGTGTTGTCATTGTTTCTCAAATACAGTGAATTTTAGAAATTTTACTTAACTCTCGATTGTTTCAACTTTGACAATCTTGAAATCAGAATACTTGCTCTAGTTTTGTTAGCTCTCACTGTATCGGTTTAACTGTAGCATTTAGTTTCAGGGCCTAAGAGACAGAAATCTAGTTTTGGTGGTTACTCTGTTGAAACAGAAAGCAGAAAAGTAAATTATATTTTAATTTACTGTTTTTGGGGGGTAATCTTAAGAGGTTAAATACACTAAAAAAATGAGAGTGCTGCTTTTATTTGATGAGGTCATCAGTTAGGATGTGAATAATAAGGAAAAGGTTTTGAGAAGTGTGTGTGTGTGTGTGTTGGAGGGTAGGGGTAAAGGTCACTGATGGAGAAAAGAAAGTGAGCAGTGATTTAAAAGTAACAAGTGGAAAGTAGTAGGGAATTAAGATGACCACAAGAAAGATGTGTTCAGCATCTCATTGACCTGGGAGCTTGTGTTTGAGCACATTGCATATGTGGAACATTTTATTACCTGAGAACATACATAACTTCTGTTTAATTAAAAAGGTTGGATTTTTTTTTTTTTTTTTTTCAATTTTAAAATGGTTAATCTGTGAAAAAACTTGTTTGGAAATATAAGACATGGCTGACAGCTGTCGGCTGAAGAAATGTTTGAATAGCAATATATTAAGCAGCAATATTCAATAAATTGGAGGTATTACTTCATATAGAATTTAAATCAATATTTCTTTTTTCATCATTTTTTATAATTGCTAGCTTTTCTCTTTGAACAAATACCATGTTTTGGGATGAGTAGCTGTTCTGTGGCACTTAATTTAGTGTGTGTAGGTGAACTGGTACAGTACCTGTTTTGAGTTGTTTTGTCCTTCCTCCACTGAATAATTTTAGAGAATTGTTGTTCCTAGGGAACAAAAAAAAAGAAAAATACATTAATAAAGACTTCTGTAGGGTTGACATCAAATATGTCTTCACATCCTTATCAATGTGCAGTTTTGGTTCAACTTTGGCTATTGCACCTGAAGCCAGATTCAGGTTCATTTAATGAAACTGCAGACTAGGTTCTGATTTGGAGCCTGTTGAAATTTTCACTAGAAGCTGCTCTGCTGAACTCTTCAACAATTTTTTGATTTAGCTTACTCTATTTTAGTTGCTGTTTCAGCAATTGTTGCCTTCTTACATATTCTGCGTTGCACTTTCAGAATGGCAAACAAACTGCTAGGTAATAAAACAGTGATGTGTCTGTCTTCCATACTAGTACCCCATCTAAAATGTTGTAGGTATTTACTTGTTCATTGGCATAAACTGTTCTGCTTTGAAAGGTCCCTTTGGGACAGTTCTTAGATGTTATCTGCAGGGTATGTGCACAGGAAGGACAGCAGTGTCTTGGGGCACAAACATACAAATAATACTATGATCCTGAGTAGCGTTTTTTTAAAAACAGTCACAGACAGTGGCGTTCAGTAATTGTCTTCCTATTGCCAATATGTTTAAAAAACAAAGTCTGTCCAGCACATGTGAGGAAGAGTTAATTCCAGCAATCAACATACAGTATCTACACAGAAGATCCTCCAAGTCTCATTTATGAATACCTGACCCATACAATCTTGTGTCACTGTATTTCAGGTATCCAGTTACAAGGAATTATATTTGATCTTATTATTATCATTATTATTTCAACCAAGAGAAGCAACACTTGATGGTAGGGTGGGATCCTCAGGAGTTACCAACTCTGGCCAAATTGTGTTTGGGTCAAAGTCACTGACAGTTTCACTATTGATTTTTGTGGGACTTGGGTTAGGTCACTGCACAGTACTTTTGAAATCCCACCTCTAACTATTTCTGAGTTGAGTGTGTGATTATTTCCTCACAGGGAGGAGTCCATCACCACAGCCTTCCAAAAACACCATACAAGTGAAATGCATCTGTCAAAACTTTTGAAATTCCAGTAACTTCAACCATCTCCTGCCTGAGAAGCTCTGTTAATAAGGCTAATAGGCTGATACTGATCATTTGCAAGCACAGTAGTGAAAAGTGTGCTGTGGGCTTTGCTGGAAGTTGTAAGCCGAAGATCTCCAGGATCAGGCTCTGGATGAGCCATTCAGTACCATGTGTGGTCTCTCACAGGCTAGTTTCATGCTTGCTTGTGGTAGTGGCAACTAGTCAGCCATGACAAAAAAAGAACATTGTGGGTCTTAAACTTGCCTTGGTGCTACTTCTGCTTTTAAAGTGAACATGATCTGAAAGCCCCTCTGCACTCAGCCTGTGAAAAGTGCTCAGTATGTGCTGTAGCTTCTGAAATCTGTGGAACAACTTGCGTCAGTGTATGCTGGAGGAGCGAACCTTCTGGCATATAGTGTGATCTGGAGTGAACCCATCTACCTTCAGTTTTCTTCCTGGTTTCTCCCTTGGTGGTGCAGAGTTAGTGGCATAGAGTTGTCTAGAGGTGTAGGGGGAAAGAATAGGATGTAAATTTACTTTCAGGTCACAGGCTCTTATTCTACTGGAGTGACTCACTTGAAGTGGTACTAGTGTCCGAGATAAATCTCTAGGATGTGTCATATAAGATGCTTATTATCGTAATTCATCTGTCACAATATAATTACCATGCACAGCTCAGCAGCCTATCGTCTTTCTAAATGAATGTATCTCTGCACGCTGTTATGGATCAGTGTATGGCTGTAGAGCCATCCTGGTTTCCCACAGCAGGCATCCCTTCTCCCTGAACAAGGCAGGAGGACCTGTTACTTGTTGATGCCGTTGCCTCCGGCAGCAAGCTGCTTTGGCTTGCAAACTGATTTCATTCTCATTCTCTCCTCAGCTGCATTTTCCCATGCAGCTCTCACGCAAAATGCCACATGCTGACACTGGCTTGGTCTTGTCCTGATGGTGCCCTTCTCCCTCATCAGGCACTGTCACGTCTCCATCTCCATGCTTAGCACTGTCTGCAGAGCCTTCCCCATTCTGACTCTGCATTGTCCAAACCAGAGGCCATAGACAGTAGCATCTCTACTATGGTTGTGGCATGCTGGGGATGGCCTGTCAGAGCGAGGAAGCCTGGTAAGGCATGGTGGGGACAGAGCAGGCTTTCAGATCTTTGTAACTGCAAAGAAGACACTGGCCAAAGGGGTTCTGGTGGATTGAGAAAATGGCTGGTGCCATGTGCAAGTGGTGGATGGGGCTGAGGTATCACCCCACCCTCTCTGACGCAGTGGTGAAGTTCATATATCTTGCAGAGGATGGCCACCACAGTTGAGCAATAAAATTTTCACCCCCCACCCCACCTGGCAAATGAAATGCCTAGTAGATGCATGTTGTGTTCCACCTTGTTGACAAAAGATCTCTTTGAGATAAATATGTGACTTTCCATGAGTGAGTCATTGAACATGCAGGATCATTATGGGGGTTTGCTTTATTACAGAAAAGTAAACTAAGGTGCATTTTATGGTGGACCTTTTGCTGTGAATCCTTATCTTTACAAGTACATCTGAAAAATTCATAACTCTTCATCTGAGATGTCGAAAGACTCTTGATGAATGATTTAGTTTTTGTGTGTCTGAGCTGCATTCTGTATTCTTGGAAGTCCTATTTGAGAAGTTAGCTAAATATGCTTTCAGAAGTGTTCTTTTTCTTAAGTCATAAGAGCAAAACAAGCTTTGAAAATAAAATGACAGTTAAAATGAGCATTGACAATGCAAAGCAGTAGTGTATGATTATAGTGTTGTTTTAAATATACACAGTAACATTTTTAATGCATCAGAAATGGTTATCTAACTTCCCTAATTATCTTTTAACTTACTATGATGACTAAGAAAGTGAGGCTATCTTTGTGGAAGAAAAGAATGAGTTTTATAGTTGTCCTTCTTGAAGTTTCCAAAAAATAAAAAACAAAAGTCACACCACAAACATGTTTCTTCTCTGAAATGCATTTTGTTTGGTTTATCAACTAGGTAAATAAAAATGATTGCGTGGGATCAAAATAAATTGCTTATCACAATTTTAGGTTGTAGCATCTGTTCAGAGAAATGGAAGGGCAGGAGAAGATGCAGCTTAGTTTTTCTAGAAATGTAAGAATGAGATTTTTGAAAAAGAAGTTTACACCTTTTTAGTAAAGATGCTTCTACTTTAAAAAGCTTGATATTGGGCCTTGGGATAAGCATGACTAAGCTATGTGCTGGTGTCTTGGCAACAAAGCATATGTGAAAGCAGTGTTTTAAAATCTGACTGCATAGAAATGATCTCTGCTTGTGTGAATAATGGTGTGCTTTTCTCAAAATCAATAAAACTACACAAGTCTAGAGCAGGACTTGCACAATGGTACATAAATGTATTTAACTTGGATATTTTCTTCTCATTCATTTTTGCTTCTTTACACAGGGAGTGAAGTATCTGTGCATTCCTGCTGCTGACTCACCCTCGCAGAACTTGTAAGTTTTCTTTAAAAATAAATCAAAAAACCCCAGAAATCACTCAGTACTGTGATGTCTGTTTTACAGTGAGTTGAAAGATCTCATTCTGATCTCTCACAAGTATTACACAAATGTGGGTTTTAATACATTAAGAAAACACAGTAACACTTTACCCCAGCCACTTTGGTTTTTTTTTTTTTTTTTTTGTGTGTGTGAGGGTTTGTAGGAGGATCGGTACCTAAACACTTTTAATTTGCAGCCTTAAACTTCAGGAATTCCTTTGTGAGTCTACTCCTAATTTAGTCCCAGTTTATTCTAGCTACTGTTGTGAATCTTTTTGCTTGGCTGTTCTTTTTTGTTAGTGCCATCTCCAGCCATTAACAAAAAGAAAATATTTGGAAGAGGTATGAAGCCTGGTGCTCCAAGGGTTGAAATAAATTCCTCACAGTAGGCCTTCAAGATCAAGTCCCAATGTGCAAAGTACCCCTGCAACTTTCTGCTCCGGAATTCTTGAACCTGTCTCAGAAGGCCCCACTGCTCTTAGTAGTAGGCTGGCATGGTGGGGAGCTTCTGCCCTGTGATGCCTCTTGCCTTGAGGATATATGTACTGAAACTAGGGTGTCCCAGCTTCACTCTTTCTCATCTCTGGTAACATTCATGAAACACTAATTGACTTGCTCTTGGTTGTAATGTTTTGAACCACTGAGCATAGCAAGTCTTGATTCCAAAGAGAAATTAAAACAGGTTTTGTAAGAGAACTTGGATGGTGACCAACTCTTTCTTCCAGAGCTCACTGTTTATGTTAGGGAGAGGTGAGGGGGGTTTCAGCCACATCCTGCTACCAAGTTTTGTAGAGAAACAAGTAGTTGAAAGGGGCCTGGTAGGTGCGGAAGGAAATGCAGCACTGCTTTTCTCTCACATCACAGCAATATTCTGGCTCATGCTTTCGGGGGATATTTTTAGAATATGTGTTTCTCATACCCTAGAAAGATTCCAGTGTGGTATTTGATGTGTGGTGATTTGCCTTTTCATTCTGCATTTCTGTTGTGATTTTAGGGGAATGGGGGGGAAAAAAAACCCAAAACACCACACAGACACACACACACACACACGCACACACACCACCTCAAACTCCTAAATTTCAAGACAGGTTTGTAATGAGAAGGCAGACAGCTAACTGCCTTTGTCATGGACAACTTCTGTGGTCTTAATACTTAAATAAATGTAGAAAACATTCTTATGTCAAAGATAAAAGATAGGAGATTAGAGGGAAACATTCACATGTCATATTAATTGTATGTTGGTATTCTGAGATCTGTAGCATTTCTGAAAACATTTTTCAAATCTGCTTCCTTTGTTAGTAGAGATCTGGACCAATTTGGAATGGAAATAGAAGGGATGGGATTTGTGATGAACGTTAATCGGTGTACAGTTCAGTTCCTCCCTCACTGTTAAATATCAAGGAGTTACACTGAAAAACCACCTCCGGCACTTGAGCTGTCTGGCGCAGTACCAAAGCTCTTAGAGCTTCAGTAAGAAGATAGAATATTTGCATGAGTATTGTTTCTGTTATGCTGCAGGCATCTAAAATACTTGCTTTGGTATCAGGTGGTTGCAAGCAAACGTCATTACTTCTAATACTGATACATTTTATCACTTAAAATAAAACTTGATGAGTAACCGTTTTTTCTTTTTTGCTTTATACAGTCTTTAAGTAAAATCAAATGATGATGCTCGCAAATAGCAATGTTGCTTGCTTCGCACATAGAATTTTCTGAAAGCAAGAGACAAAGCTGCGTTTGTTCAGTCTGTGAGGATTTGACACAGTCTTAACTAGGAGTGGTTAACCGTACTGCCTGTGCCCTCTGCGGAGGGAAGGATAGCTGAGGAACAGGAAAGGGAGTTAGTCCCTCTGCAACATCTTCGTGTATCTATCATTGTCTTTTAAAAGAGGAATTCTGGTGTTGTCAGGGGAAGGAAAAAAAAAAGCAGCCTCCTGTATTGCAGATCATTGCATATTCTTGGCAATGGTTAACAGGAACAACTGACCAGATACATGCTGCTGTCTTGTCTGTCTCTTCCCAACACCAAGTTTGTCAGAAGCTTTGCTGCTACTTTGCAACTGCTGGCAGGTTGGTAAGGTCTAACCAAAAGCCTTTACCCATTGAATTTTGGGACTGTGAGCTCTTAATTCACTTCAGCTCAGTTTCTGTGAAGGAAACTTCTGGTTTCTTATGTGTGTAATGCACATTTACTCCTGGTAAGCTTGTTTAGTGAGGCTTCCTCAGAGGAATGAATTGCCAGGGAAATACACCAGGGATTCCCCTGTTAACATGTGGGCGTTCAGTAAAAAAAGTCTCAAAAGCTTGCTTCTACTCTGATGTTCTGCCCCTACCAAGCACAGGAATCAAGTTGCTTTTGAGATTTGAGGTGCTTTCTAGGCATTAAATGTTTTGCCTGGACTGTCAGAATTTTACTTTGGTTCATTGACTTCTCCAGAAATGTCATCTCCTATAGAACCTGTTACTAAAAAGTTAATTCTGTAGAAATCAAACCTTCCCTTCCTGTCCTGTTCCAGCTAATTGTCCTAGGCTAAGTGATTTTAAGAAACTAACCTCCAGTGGTCAGGCTGTTAATGGTAGTAATGCAGAAGCCAGATAATCTACTAAGAAAAGAAATCTATGTGGATCTTTATTACATTTAGATTGCTAAATGCAAGAAACGTTAAGATGTTTCTTCCTAACTGATGTGGATGCTTTCTTTTTAACCTTTTTAATATTTGTGGAAGTTTGACAAGCAACAAATGAATATGTAGATATGGTGGTATAACTCAGTCCTCAGCTTAGTTTTGGATTATCCAGCTTGCTATTGCTGATAGGGGCACTGTACTGGTTCTTTTTCCTGTGGTGTTTTCCCACTGCGAAGATGATGCAGTTCAAGACCCACCTTTAAGCTGGGAGATGTAAAAGCCAGATATCATGTAATAAATTGTCTTGAAGTAACTGTTCAGTCCAACAAATAGGCTGCAAATCAACACATTTGTCAAGTGCTTTCCTGTTACAGATGATAATCAACTGTTTGTGGTTAATGTAAGACTTGCCATTCCTCCTTGTGTCTGGCACTAGCCACACAGCTAACTGGTCCTCAGTCTTAGTTTTCATGTAAATGTGGTTTGTACCCTAACTTTGAAAATGAATTTAGGTAACTGTGTTTGCTGGAGCCAGCATAGACCCTGATACCATAGGGTTGTTGAGGAGTATGTTTTTCCTTTTCTCTCACTCCAGGTGAGGAGGGGTAATGGTTCTGTAGAGCAGCTCTAATTCTCAGCTTGGGTATTTCTCTACTCATTTTCATGAATGCCTGTAAATGCTTACGCTTGACAGTGTTTCAGCAGACTGAGTGTCAGCAATAAGGAAGGGTGAATAAAACTGAGTGAATGGAATTCACTGCTAGCTATATTTAATACCTTGCAAAGGTGGTGTTATGCTCATTCACAGGTATTTTTTCAAACCAAAGTATCAAAGTGTTTAACCAAAACTTGTTCTAGACTATTGAAGTGAATTCAGTGGTTCTTGGAGCTGTGCTGTTGGCCAGATTTTTCTAGAGAGAAAGAGAAAAGATAGGTGTATGAGAAGATTGGGATGTTGTCAATCCAGCCCTAACCAAGTTTCATTTGACTGAAACAGTTCAATCTCAGATAAGTGCTCCTTCGTTGTGCAATAGCAATGCCTCTTGTGCACACATCTCATTTGTCTCCTGAGTTCATTTATGTAAAGCTGCTTGTGCCCCCCCAGGAAGACCTGAGTGCCATAATTTGTTAGAATTCACTGAAAATGTTTTGGACTGGCATTCTGAGTAGAAATGCATTGGTAAGGCTTCATTGCTCTTCTCCACTTATCCCACATACTCGATGAGTTTCTTGAGAAGCATAAAATTCTGAGTTGACAAGCTTGGGGTTGCATTGTGCCCTTGAAAGTTTCCAAATAAGTCACTCAGGTCTTCTCCAGCTGTGTTATCCATGTTGTATCCAGTGATGCAAGAACTGCCTTGGAGAGGGAGTCCTGGGCTTTGAGATCCCCAGTTTTAGATATTTCAGCTTAGACATCGTTGCCTTTGCAAGTTCTACAGGTACTGTCACTCTATTGAATCACTGTTGTCCTCCTCCAGGTCTTGAGTGTTTATAGTATCAGCAGCTGCACTGTTGGGCAGGAAGGGAAGCTTCCTTTTATGTGGGTATTCCTGATTTTTGTGTGGCTGTTGGTGCTGGGTTGAGGTTTTTTTCTTTTACCCTTGTGGTATAATATTCAACCTGAGAGGGGAAACATCTTGAATACAGGACGTTGTGTTTCATGGGTGTTGAGTGCAGTGTGCTTTTAGGTTTGTCTTTGCCAGTAAGGCTGATACTGACTGCCCCTTAAAAAACTGTGTTGCACGCATTGCTACTGCTTCTGAGCTTAAATTGCAAGAGTACTCAAAGCCACAGTGATCTCCAGCTCTGTTGAACTAAGAGGTGCTGCTTGCACCTGTGATAAATTGCAGGCTTTGCAGTCTGAAAGGCAGAGGCAGGGTGAGAACTTGGGACTGGGTGATGCTGCAGATTTACTGAGGTAAGGACAGCTGCCCAGTTACTTTTCTTCAGACTTGCCCTGCTTAAAATGAAAAGGCATGTGTAAAGGATAATTGTTTGTAAACTGAGCCTTCTCCACATTTTCTCTTCCATGGCTTCAAAAAAGGTGGGCTGTAGGCAGGGGTTGGCTGACACCCTGAATAAGGGCAGGCAGAACGGGTACTGCAGTCTGAGGGGAGGAGACTGGAAGGAGCTGAAGAAGCCATGGCTTCAATTGAGGATTTTTTCATAGCATCCAAAGGTAGAGATTTCTTGTTGCAAAGAAGAAAGTCGCAACATTTAGATGTCTCCTAGTACATGGTTTGAAGAGGGAGGTGAAGTAGAAGTTAAGTGTAAGTTTAAGTAGCGGGTAGTGGATGCCTCTGTGAGAGACGGTTTACCTTGAGAACTGTTCTTGTGGTCATGCTGAGTTTCATCTAACATCGGAGCATATGCAAGGACATGCAAGGTCAAGTTACTAGTTCAAAGAGGAATAAAACACAAACTTAAATACAGACTTGACAGTCATCAGAATAAGGAGTTTGTTAATGTTTATCACACCATAGTACATAAGATACCAGTTTCTTCTGCAGATAGAGTGGAGAATAACTGTGCTAGTGAGTATTGTATTTCATTGGCATACACTAACTTTTATCTTGTAAGACCTGTATTCAGTTCTAAATTCTAGCAACAGCATTAAATGAACTTTCAGATACGTTTCTAAGTAGTGATTTTACTAACTGGAGCACTTTCTTTATTCCCTTTCTGTTTTCAGGGCAAGGCATTTCAGAGAGAGCATCAAATTTATTCATGAGTGCCGACTTACAGGTGAAGGCTGCTTAGTTCATTGGTATGTATGCCACTTGCCAAAAACCTTCCTGAGGATTTCTCTACCTTGGTTTGAATGTTCATCATTTTAATAAGTTAGTGTTCATCTCCACTTTATAGCAAAATGCCCTTGGATTGAAATGCCCCCTTTATTTGAAGAGCCCCAGAAGATTTGTGAATGCTATTAAAGCCTCATGCTAGGACTTTTGAGTCACTGAGGTAGGCAGCTACCTGGAGATAAAAGGAACCCAAGAAATTCTACTTGACCTTCTCCTCTTATCAAACCTTTTTGTAGTACTGATTTGACTAAAGATGTGCATTGACTGGAGAGGTATTATTTATTTCCCATTATTTTAATCACTGTGTTTCTAAAGATGATTTCCATAATCCTAGTAATTTGATTAGTTTCTATAATAGCTATTTTGGTGACTTCAGAGTTGTTAAAAAAAATTTCCTCTGAACAGAAATTGATTTTTTTCCCCTTTTTTTTTTTTCTTTCTTTAAACTGCTGAAGCATTCAAATGTCGCGTTTGTTAATAGCAAGTCTCTGATTGGAGAGGTGCTCCTGGGACTGTAGAGAATAGAAGAAGAAATCCCACCCTGGGTTTTTTCTTGCTCTCTCCTATTGGTTGTAGTCTTTGTGCTGTATGTCCAAGTTACATATTTGAGTCTATATCTGGGCATGAGAGTCATCTCATGATTTGAACACTGGACTTGTACATGGGCCCTGAGCAGAAATCCTCAGTTTGCTACTGACTCATGATAGGGCTGTGCATGAGTCATTTGGTCAGTCTCTATGTATGTAAGCCAGGGATAATTTGTCAGAATTCTGGTAGAGTTTGAAAATCACATACTCAAATTTGTGAAACATTGCAAGAACATAAAATGTTCTTGAAATGCCAAGTGAAAGAATCTGGTACAAATGTAACTTAAACATATTCATTATTCTCACAATAGTAATAGTTGAGAGTTTTGTCCAGTGCTGTCAGACAAGTAATAGCGAATGATTCTTATTTTATCCTAGTGTTTCACGTGGCAGAACTGGAATCTTGAGAGTTGAAGTTGCACAATGCGTGGATCGCAGAAGGAGGAAAAGAGCTCAAGCAACCAGACATATGCACTTAAACAATTCAGTTAAAGTTCATTTTGGTGCCGTGAAATTGAAGCCTTTATTCGTGGTGGAGAGGGAATGGTCTTATTTCACTGCTCTGATCTATATAGGCATAAGAAAGGGTGTGACTTATTTCTAGCTTGTTAAAAACCAAATCTAACTTAGGACATGTACAGTATCCCCTGGTTTCGTGAAGACTTAATGCTTATTTCTTCCTTTGCAGTCTCATATGAATTACCATTCAGAACCAACTTTCTTGGTCTTGTCATAGATTTGTTTTGATGCATTTGAAAAAGCAGCACCAAAACCTTTTAACTCAAATACTGTAATATTTCTTCCTGGTGGCAAGCAACACAGCGGTCTGCTGTGATGTTGGGAAGTGTTGCTTTTAACTACGATAGATGAAGTACAGCACTACTTAAATTTATTGCACCGCTTTTCTCATGCAGCCTTGCAGGTGTCTCTAGGAGCGTAACATTGGTGGTTGCCTACATCATGACCATCACAGACTTTGGTTGGGAAGATGCACTGTCTGTTGTCCGTGCAGCGAGATCCTGTGCCAATCCTAACATGGGCTTCCAGAGGCAGCTACAGGATTTTGAAAAACACGATGTTGATCAGGTAAATTAACTACAGACAAATGAGCTGTGAAACACAACCCCAAGTCTCAGATCATGGGCTACTTCTCATTATTTTGAGGCATGGGTGGTTTATGTGAGTCCTTGTTTTTGCTTGGAGGGAGTGACTTCTTGGCCAAGCCTGCTCCACTGGGGAGGTGTAGATAGAATTGAAGGTATTGGGGAATGCGGGATGGGATAAGAGATGAAGCCAACATATAAACACCTCCTGTCCAGCTGTGCTCTAAATCCAGTGATTGCCTCATGTGTGCTAAGACACAGTACAAGACTGACACCTTTAGAGGGCTAAAAACTAGAGTGTTCTGCTCAGGATGCAGTAGAAGGACCACACTAGTTGCATAAAAATAGTGGGTTTCCCCCCTACACATTCATTTGGAATAGTAAGCAGGAAAGAAATCATAATCAGAAATCTACTATCCAGGAGTTAAACTAGGTTCTCATGACTTAAGTGTCATGTTCCCCCTATCTTCTGTGGCTGAGACTTAATAAATTTTCTGATGTATAAAACAGTCTCAAGTCTGACCCTTTTTTTCTTAACTTTTTGAAGGCTTTGTATACCTAGAAGAATTGAGGGAGCAGTAAGACTGCAAAGTGGTTTTCATAAAACAAAAACTGGTTTCTTACCCCTGAAAAGAACCATCCCACGCAAAAGACCTGCTCCCTGTGGGTGATCGGTGACTTCCACTTATGTTAACAACCTAATCTGGCCATCACCTCCATTTTCCATTGCTCAGCATATTGCTGTTCTCTGGGTTTTTGTGCCTATTGTGCTTATTAAAAATTGGCAACAACAGAGGCAAACCAAAATCAGAAAGCAAAATACATGAGGCAAAGGATGCTGATTATTTTAGATTTTATTCTATCCCGTCATTCTTCTGCAGAAAGTTCAGAGTTTAGAAATTACCATTTGTTTTGCATGATGCAGCTTGCAACTGTAAATATTTGTGTTTTTTAAATATTTAACTGAATGTTTCCTGGATCGTTTGGAACTGGTGTAAATGATAGAGTAACCGATTTTTAAGAGACAAAAGTCAGAGGGGGACTTTCCAGACTTGTCTCCTTCCTCCCTTACAGTCATTTCTACTCTAATTGGTCTGGGCTAACAGCAATGACAATTAAGGCTATATGCAAATAGCCTGATAAAGACAGTAACGTCTCTTTTTTTCATCCACCATGGACGGCACATTCTGCCTTTTTTTCACTGAGGGGGAGGCAGTAGGTTGTAAAAAGAAATATCCACCTGTAGTCACTGGCTGGGCTGTAGTTTCCTACTGTCTTTTAACAGCAACCACATCCTTAGCAGGTGTCTGTTTACACACCTGATTTCAGTGGAATAATGCCATCTGCCAAGGGTGTGAACTCTTTTCTGATTTCAGCAGCATGGGTGTTATGCTGTGCCACTATAGGGTGATATCCTGTGGGGTTTCTGGAATGGGGTCCTCTTGATCTTAGTTTTACAGGAAGGCGTTTAGTCACTAAGGTCACGATATGGTTTGTACCAATTCCAAACTCCCATGTGGTAGCCTGAGGCTTCAGATTTGTCTCGGTACCTTATGAATTTTTGGGAATGGGAGGGAGTAACTATGTTGAGGTCTTGTCTCCCAGCATCCTAGTAAATGATCTTAATGGATAAAGCTGTCCATGAGCCCCAAACAGAACAAAGCTCTGAAAGTTAAGACTTCAAAAATGAATATTATCCCCACTGCAACAGAATGGTTGGGGTTCATGTTTGCTTGCTGCTTCTGCAGAAAAGAGCAACAAGATTGCCAGGAATGACTAAATGGACTCAGATTATTCAACTGGCAAAGAAATGATAGAGAAGGATGTGATAAAGGTCTGTAAAGTTGAATGCGATCAAGCAAACTGGTGTGATTTCTACTCTTCCCTGTAATGTGAGATGGAGCTATCAATTGGCAGGTCCCAATCAAGGAAGAGGAGTTTTTATATAATATGTACTTACTGAGCTTGTTGGCATCCAGATATCTTGTGGTAAAAAATTTGTGGATTCAATGGTAGAAAAATTAATTTGTTGCTATCTAAAACAAAGATTCTGCCTCAGTCTCTGAAAGTATCTGAGCTGAAAATTGCTGGAAGCTGAGGAAATTACCAGGGGAAGGGTCCCAGCATTATTGTCCTGCTGTTGCCTGATTCTTTTCTCAGCATTTACATCTGGCTACTGTCATACCAGGATACAGAGATGGACTGACCTTCAGCTGGACTTGGTTCATCTGTTACCATGTATCATATTCAGTCTTTCGTGTCAGTAACATATTAGGGTCCTATACTATAGCTTTTAAAGCTCCTGGACCTTTTCTTTCCAGAAGATACCTTTCCTGATATCTGCAGTACATTTTAACTACTGGTGTTTGTGGGCTCAGAATTAAAAAAAACCCAGTATATGAGTAGTTCACTTTCTGATTTTCAGCCTTCTTGCAGCCTGTTGTGACTTGGACAGGTTGGATGATCGTATTAGCTTCCACACTAATTCATCTTATTGTTTGTATATGCAATGGGAAGAGGGTGTTTTTAAGTCCAGGATGTCCTAACCCAGTGGGTGTTCCTTACTCTGTATTACTCCAGTCAGCTGTTACACAAGTGTGTAATTTTAGGGATGTAAGGGATCTCGGTGACTTCAAATGTGTGTTCCTGTGCCTGTGTATTCTGTGCTGCTATTGAAGGACATGTAGTATTTGGAGCTCTTTTTGTGTTCTTAAAGGCTCTTGAAATTCTGTAGGACAAGAGGGAGTATTCTGCATCAGTCTCATGTTATTGTCTCATCATATTGTTCAATTTCTGCAGTTCAGGCAGTGGCTGAAAGAAGAATATGGGGAAAACTCTTCTCAGGATCTGCAAGAAGCCAAAAATCTTCTGAGCAAATATAAAGAGCAGGCAGAATTGCAGCAGAATACTGGAGGAAGACAGTGGAATAACAACTTCTCATCTGTGCCATCTCTCTCATACAGCAACTACACAACAGAGACCTAATCGTAGGAGGTTGATTTTTTTTTTTCTACCTTTGAAAAATATCTTGCCATAATTTCCATCCCATCTTCAAGACTCTCGGCAGTAATCACAAAAAGTTGATTTGTAGAAAGCTTCTTGATGAAAATACTACATTATGTGTGTCTGTATGAGTGTGTTTCACACAGTTTCATAATTTGGGCAGGATCAAGCTCTCTGTATGCCCAGAGACATGATCCAGTTACTGTGGCTGATCCAGTCTGTCAGCCAGCCACAGCTATTATCCCCTTATGTCCACATTGCGTGGCATTTGCTGTGAGGTTAGCTCAACTCCTTTTGTTGTAGGCTAGCAAAGGGCTCTGAGAGATGAAGTCTGGTGATTCAAGCTGTGGCAGTTTGACATCTCTGCACTATTAATGTAGTAAAGATGTTATTGCACCTGAAGAAGGAAACTCAAGTCTGTGTCTCTGCTGCTCCTGTTCACAGTCCATTGGCAAGTAATACCGCAGAGGTGGGCTTGAACTTGAATGCTGGGCTGCAAACTGGAGCAGGTGAGATATGGGCATGTGTACCTTTCTGCAAACAGTAGCATCTAGGAGAGAAGTGGGACAGACAGCTCTGAGTAATAACATCTTCAACTGCCACAGTTGTACTTGCTTCAGTGCACGTGAGACAGAGCTGTTGGCAGAACTGCCACAGACCAAGAGCACCAAGGCTGTTACCACAGCTCAGCTGATGTGCGGTGATTTAAGCCGTGGTCCCTTGATCGTGCATCTGGTCTCCCAACATAAGCTTTTCTGGAGAGTAGTTTATCCGGTCTCCAGTGCGGCTGGACTTCATTCCCCGTGGAACACGTGCCTCTTCAACACACGCCCCTGCGCACATGATAACGTGTCTCCAAAGAGTGGGCTCAGTGTGAGTGTGAGCACCTGTTTCTTTGCTTGTGCTGTGGTTTGCTCTTTGACTTCAGCTACCTCAAAAAATGCTGTTCTTGTCATTGTGGTTGTAAATGCAACCTTGAAAATTGCCTTGTGTAATCTTAATCTGACACTGAGTGAAGTAAGGGGGTGTGTGTGTGAGAGTGTGTGTGTGCGCATGTATATTTCACAAATGTCTGTGTTTGAAAAGTTTTGTTTTCTTTTAAAATTGCCCATATTTCTCACTGGTTTAAAAACTGAGTTGTTTGAATTCAACTTTCTGCCATTTAAAAACCACTATATATTTTGCTGTGATCAGATTTGTAGGAATGCATTTGTAAAATATTTTTAAACTAGGTTAAAGCTAGGGGCCATATTCTGCTCTTAGTAACATTGTGTGTTTCTGGAATGGAGCCATTGCCTGGCTCAAGTGTATTCTAAGAGTGTTACTTCAAATGTGTCGCCAGGGATGCTGGGCGGTGTATTGATTTCTGGTGGTGTAATGGGGGGTGACACTGATGCCAAGATGATGGTTTCTTGTCTTTGACTCAGAGGATGGAAGGCCTATTTTTCTTGAAGATTCCAGAAAATAGAAAATACCTCCCAAACAGCCAGGACAGAAAAACAAAACCAAACCCCTTCAGTTTTTTAAATGTGGTGTACATCATGCTAAAAGATGAGCACTGAGGGAGAAGCAGTCAGCATACTAAATAGACTGTTGTCTCTTTCAGTTTCTTCAGTACTCTGACCTCCCATCCCTTCACAAGATTCCTCTTCATGTGATTTCTTGCTTGCTTTGGGTGGCAGTGAATTCTTTGGATGGGAGCAAGGCTTTTGGGGTCAAGTAAGCTCTGGCTGTTAAATATCTGCTGTTAAATATCTTCCAAAAAATATGTTATGGCTTGTGAAATACAGATCTTGCCTATCAATAATTGCCAAAAAGGAAAAAAGGGAATGGGGTGGAACTGGCCTGACAGTTTCATCTGAATTCAAGCCTACATCAGGGTTCTCATTGCACTGAGTGCTTTAAGTGAACAAGGAGAGCAGGATAAGCATGTCTGTGTGGCAGTAAGGGATGCTGTTGTATTTGGGAAAGGTGCTGCAATTGGCTTTATTTTCAGCCTTGTAGCTAAATGAACCACTGCCTATTTGGTACTGTGTTTGCCTGGTAGAAGTGTTTAGCTCTTCTTGAAGATGTTGATCTACAAATAATTGGTTGTTTAGGAATTCCCATACAGCACAGTGCCCATGTTGGCAGTCCCCTCTCTACTCTGAGGGTAGCATGTGGTAATTGGAAAATGCTGTCCTCCGTAACAGGGTCTGAGACATGTTCATTTGTCCAACCCTTGATTCATAATAGGATATGTGGTGCAACTTCAGCCAGGTCCCAAAGGGCAGGTTTGTCAGAAGCCTTCTGCCTGTGCTCTTGCAGGTATCCAGTCCACCCCTCCTGTAGCTGACTGCCAACACTATGTATCCCATAGCACTTCTGGCACTCTTGTCCTTGTGGTAGTAACCCTGTGAGTGCTGGTAAGGTGTCAATTCTTTTTTCTGTTAGACAAATACAAGGCAGAATGGGAGACATCTATTAATATTCATGTGTCCAAGATTATTCTGTACAGGATTTTTTTTCAATAGTTTGGTTATCCCCAAAGGGTCAATCCCACAAACGGCATTTTTTTAGAACTGAATTCCACTTTAGGGCCCTATAGCCACTTCAGTGTGCATTATGCTGCAGCTCAAAAGCAGATACAGGGTAAAGCAGGAAGACACAGGGAGTGCCATATTGTCAGAAAGTAGAAGTGCTTCTCTCTTTTTAAAAGCCGAAAGAGGTATTTTCTGTAGTCTCTTGCTTCTACATCTTGTTTAGTGGTCTGTATGTACTGCATTTAAGAGTAGTAAAAGAGCAACAGCAGTCTAAGAAAATTTGAATCTGGTTTGCCCATGTAGAGAGCAGATAGTTTACTCCTTCATTACCACAAGTTGTGGAAGAGAGTAGCTACAGTTCTCACCTTTGACCTTTTAGAAAGGGAGAGGAGCTAACACAAACTGAGAACTGACATGATTTGTCTTCCAACCAGTCTTTCAGTGGCAGTTTGTAGGACTTTCCAGCTATCTGGAACATGACTAGACCCCAGTTCCCCCTCTTGGTAGTTGGCCTTTATAGTGTAGGTGATGCATTCAGTTATTTTGTTTCTGTACTTCAAAACACTGTCCTCGTTTTGATGTTCACTGAAAAATGTATAAAGTTTATAACACGTTATTGGATATCCAGATTTGAAATGTATAATCGATTTTTTGGGGGGCTAAACTCGATATCCATGTGTGATTATGAGCAAATGTTTAGTGTTATACAATGTAGGTAATGGGTAAATGCATTAGTATTTATTACCCTGATTTTTAACCTGGAAAGAGTTGCTTCCTTACATTTTGTGGTTGAGTGGGAAGATATGGCAAATCATATCTCTGTTTTTTAAAAAGGAGAGTAATAACATTGGTTGCTATAATGGCCACTGCTTATAAAGAGGTCAGTGAAAAATTATAGTAATTACTTCAGCTAGTTTAAAACTCTAAACCTGGTAAGCTTCTTGATTCTGTCTTCCTCTTCCTGGGCATCTTAGTGAAGCCTTGATTGCTTTTTCCAAATGTTTGTATTTAATACATTCTACAATTTTTTTATAAATAAAAGTAAATGTTAACACCTGATCTGCTTGTGTATTTCTTGAAGTCAATAATAGTGTCTGAAAGGCTTCAACTCGCTGTTTGTATCCCTGTGGGTACAGTAAGAGTACAAGACTAACTCATTTTGGTATTTAGATTACTTTTTCTCCTACACACAGACTTCTTGAGACTTCCCCTCTCTTCACTAAGTTCTTCCAGGTGAGTTCAAGAATCTCCAGAGCCACAAGAGGATGTTGCATGTTGCTCTCTTACTGTTGCTGGCCTGTCATTGTGACAGGGTATGTGGTGTATCCAAATTTTTTATTCTTTTGAAATAATCTTCTTTTCCATAGCACACAGGTTTAGGGCTTAATTAGATGTAAAACTTAACTGGTTTACAGGCTAACAAGACATAAGGCTCTCAGTAGTGGTTTGTCAGAGGAAGCTGATATAAGTAGCAGGGGAAAAGAAAAATTTAAAATTTACACTGTAACGGGGGGGGAAAAGCCCCACTTAAATTCCTAGTAATAACACTGAATTTCTGGTTTGACGCTACCTCTGCTAAAAGGGTAATTCTGACATTCGAACAATCAAAAAAAACCTCCCAAAACAAAAAACCCACCAACCCGAAGGTATCATCAGTCATGCCTAAGTAGCCAGATCTCATGGCCACTTCAGTTGTTGCTGGAGGCTGAACTGTCTGTTGAGACTTCCTCATTATGAAGGCAGACTTAGATGCTCAGGCACAGTGGATTTTGGGTCTTGTATTTTTGTCCTCTCCTCCTTCTCTTTTTATAGACTTCTGGGAATGTACAGATGTTTCCTAAGGGATCTCAGAGATTCCACTAATTAGTACTATCCTCCACTAGAATGAAGTTAATGTGTCTGTAGATAGCTTTGAGTGTGCTAGACGCACCTTGTTTGTAATATGTTTCAGTTCATCCCCAGTGTAAGTGGGTTGCCTCTGATTTTTTTTTGATGTGTGTTTTAGTCCTTTCCTGTCTTTCTATGAAAAGATTTTAAATTCAATGCAGCCTGCTATGTGAAGCTTGAATTAGCAGTGTAATTACCTCCTTTCTCCTATATGCTATCCATAGCAATGTCTTAGATATGCATGCTGTAACATTGGTAGGACAGAAAGCATGTTTAAAATATGATCCCTTGTGAACCAGGAAAATCCTTTTCAGTTGTAGAGGCTTCCCCCTAACCCCAAAGGAAAATAGCAGTTTGAAATGAAAACCACTGCTGATTTGTCTTCCATTTGACCACTTAGCACCTCTCAAGGACGTTTTTTTCCAAATCACGTGTAAAAATTGTGCTGCAACCATGGTGCCATGCTGCTGTTCTCAGCTGTATCTCTCATTTCATTCAGTATTGTATGTAACTGTTGTGAGTTCTAGAAAATGTCAGTTCTGCTTTGATTCATGTAGTCCTGTCCCACCTTGCAGGAAATTGAGGGAACTTGAGGCAAACCCACATGTCCTTAGATGTGCTTGTAACCCAATAAGGAGTTTGGGCTTCGTCAGCAAAATATGATTCCTTCCACCTCCTCAAGAAGATTGTACAGGGAGAAAATTATTATGGTCTCTAGAAAATATTAGCACGAGGAAGATGATCTTGTGCTGTACAATGTTCCTGTAGAAACCCCTGGAGACAGAAAGCATTTGACAGAAACAGCTATTTTCACACTTTGCTCTCAGCAGAGCTTTAAATGTGGTTCTCGTTTTCCATGTGCCCCAGCTCCTGTGTGTGTTAACTATTTCATTGCTACATTTAGCTGCTCTCCAGTGTTATTTTTCTGCCCTCACCCAGGGAACAAATTCTTCTTTACACATGTTTGAATGTGTGCTTTGCTCTAGTAAATTATGCAAACTGCAGTTTACCAAAAGTGAGCAGCTTGTGAGTAGTAAGATGACTTCCTGTAGTTTCCATGTAGTTTCTAGTGTAATTATTAGGAGTAGGCACCTGATGAAGTGTGAGCAGGATGTGCCTTTTTGCCATTGAACGACTGCATAGCTCAGTCCTTGTAGGAGACTCAGTTCTGCTTGTGTGAACTGAACATATTTGCAGTAAACTGAGTAAAATTCATTTGCAAGCAGTCTCAAAAAATGGGATTTTCAGCCAGACCTGCACCCAGTTTCCATTTTAGTTGAGGCAGTTATGAATGTGCAGGCTTGTATCCTCCATTATTCATTGAACTATGAATAGAAAGATCAGAACCAAGACATCCAAGCTACTTGAAGCGCAAAGTGTTTAAGTTGTTTGCTCCCTTGGTCATCTATTCACAGCTTTAGATCTGGGTAGATGCATTTACAAATGGACCCCTTGAAAGTCTGAGTTCTGATTCTTCTTCTTCCCTTCCTCTCTGAAAGCAAGTGAGTTTTTATTTAATTTGTCACATACAGGACATGGGATTTTTGCTAGAATTTCTTGAACATCTTCCCTCTTTTTTTATGTTAAGTAACTGGTATTTATCCCAAAGCTCTTGAGTCAGCGTAAGTGAGCGCCAATGTGTGGCTTGCAAACAATTTATTTCCTGTAAATGTGTATTAATAAAAAAAGCTTATTTATTAAGGTTTCTGATTTAATTGATTGTGTTAACAAATACAATTCTGCTTTTTGTGCATCTGTCTTGTAATGGTGGTGGTGATGGTTTGCCAAGGCTGATGCGATTTCTGTGGATGTTGTCACCTGTGGCAGTCTGGCTCCTGTAGAGCACTGAATGTTTTGGAAGAATAACACTGATCCATGACGGTGTTGAACCTGACATTTGAAAAATTAGAAAGAGATATTTAAGTTTTATTTGTATGCCAAAAAGCAATGTTCATTGGTGGACCTAGCATCATATACAGGCTGCTGATTGCAAACAGCTTTTTGCTTGTTTCTCTCTATTCCTCGCTTTTTCAGGCAAGGTGGGACTTTGTTGAAATCTTGTAAACAGGGGAAAATCTGCCCTGTTTAGAGAGAGGATGTGTTTGAGATGTCAGAATTATGGCTGTGTTTATGCATGCTCACTGCATATTTTCACAAGGATTGCATTTTGCAAGTAAGTCTGCAGCATATAATTTCCCAGCAAAATGGTTTATGTAATAACTGAATGTCTCAAAAGCAGATGACAAGGGAAAAAAAAGAAAAAAACCCCAAACCTGAGTGCTATGCAAGCTTTGGTTAAATCCTCAGGTTTTAGACATGAGATTCTTCTGTTCTTAAGTAGCTTATTTACTTGATAATGTCTGGTTTGCAGTGAGGCTTTTACCAGACCCGATAAAGATCTCCATTTGTCTGGAAGGTAGGATATGTCATGCAACAGTTTTTGTCCTCTGAGTAAAGACTCATTTTTGCAGAAGTCTGCAGCCTGGGCCTGTTTGCAAGTTGTGGAAGGTGCCTCTGTTGCACACAAATGAACTGGTGGGGCTTTTACTGGCTAGTGATACCATATTGAAGACCATTTGCATTTCTGCAAGTCTTGGAGGCTCTGCAAGTGTACCTCTGTCATTTCTCAGCTGGGTAAGGCTGTATGATACTGAAGTTAACCATCAGTAATAAGTTTAGGTGGTGAATGGGAAAAGGTTTGTCGCAATCCAAAACCCATGAAAGTATATTATGTACTAATTCACTGCGACTGCACTCTGGACTTTGCTGTCACTGGAAGGATCTTAAGTACTCCCTCCTTAACTGTAATTTCAAGGGACTGAGGTGGGGCTTCTGACATGTTTAGAGTTGACCTTTGTTTCCCTGGGGTGACCACCTTACATCAAGTTGATTGCACTGGAGGAAATGTTTGTCTTGTGAGATCTTACATATTTCTAGCTGAGTTTTTCTCCCTTAGAATTAGACATCCCTGATATGCACATAAATTTTCAAAATGGCATAGAAAGGATCACAAGAGAACCTGTGATGCAGTAAGACAGGCTGGGAAGACAATAGTCCTTTTTGACTCAAAAGTCTTGCGCTTTTGGCTTACCAAGAAGGCATATTGAGATACAGCCACCTTTGTCCAATCCATAAAATGCTGGATGGAGAAGAATTTGGGATTCTGTTCTCAAATCTGCTACAACTTGCTGTGTGACTCGACAAGTTGCTTCAATTCTGGATTGGTTCATTTTTCTAGCAAAATGGGGAAGAAGTGTTACGACTTTCTCCAGTACAGCTCTGCGAAGCATCTGAGGAAAAGCTCTGCATCAGTGCTGGTTGTGTATTGTTAAATGGGGTATCTGTCCTCTACCTGAAGGGTCTTAAAATACCTTTGTAGCAGATTCTGAAGCAGGGCAAGGAGCTGTGGTGGCTTCTTGCTTATTCTTAACACCTCAGTCCATCTGCGTAGGAAGTGCTGTGCTGCATAGGGTGGTGGTTGGGTGTTGATGGGACTAAGGAAAAATGAAGGTTTGATTACCCAGGTACCAGTTGCTGTATTTCAAGTGAATTACATAAAATGCAGATGTCACCATTTCTATATAGACAAATGGAAGAAGTCCAGAGCAATTCTGGTTGTGACTGCCCCCAACAAAATTCATCCCACAGGTGCATGTGTTGAACATAAAATCTCAGGTGAAAATTAAGTGGTAGGGACATGTAATGCTCTTGTGATGTCAAGAATGATGAAAGGGGGCAAGTGGAGGAGGAATAGCATATGGAAAAAATTAAAGCATTAGAATACCTAAAGGTAACGTGGTGAGGGCTGGTGATACGTGTGCTGAGATATGTTCCATGCACTGCAGGAAAAAGTCCGCAGGCAAAAAGAAAAATGAAAGGGAATCTCTACTGTTTCCTATACTTTGGATCTATGGTTATGACGATAGAAAAAAGTGATGTCCTGATTTTCCCCTAGACTTGTTCTGGAAAGAAAGCACATATGGAGAATACATCTAATAAAAGCTGTTCTGGCAGATGAGAACTGGAGAAGTAACAAAATTAGTGCCTCCTTGGCCAAGCTGCTGCTGCTACTTTTGGACTGTTTCATGGAAGACATGAATTTGATTCATTTCCAAAGACTGCTTGGAAACTCCAGGCAGCAGAGGAAGGGACTCCCCCTTGATTCTGCTGTT